AGGCTAAAATTTAGCAAAACTGGTCATTTTTACTGCTTCACATCAATAGCATTTTAAGGTCACTATATATGTAGAAGGTGACAATTTTATTCAATGACAGTTTGTTATTACCAGCCTTGATTTGTGCTATGGAGACAGTTTTACTAAATGTTTTTTTAATTTAAATTTTTTTTATTATTATTTTTAAATAAAGTTGCTCATGATTGGGTTTCGGTCATAATATTCCAATACCTGTCCCTTTACCAGTGTACATTTCACACCACCAATGTCCCCAGGTTTTCTCTTTCTTTAAAAATTAAAAAAAAAATTGGCAAACAAACTTACAAATAAATCCTGAAAGACAGCAACACCCTACAGAGATGTCCTCTCACCCCACACCAGGCTGACTTCATCTGGGGACCTTGGGGGGGCGAGGGGCAGGTATGTCCCTCTCCCTAACCCAGCAGAATCCAGGCAGTCACAAACTTCCAGAGAACCCAATCATTGCTGTGCTTTACCGTTGATCTTCACAGGCTCGGGACGAGCCCCTCATGCATGAAAATGAGTCTACTGAAAAAACCAGGCTTGTGGGTTCTGTGACTGAAATCTCCAGGCTCACAAAAAAGTCAGGAATGGGTCCCCTCCTCCCATTTCCCTGTACTCCTGGCTTCCTGGCAGTCACGCCCACGAACTGCCTTTTGGCACCATCTAAGCTCATTAACGGTCTTGGTTCAGAGATTCACAAATAAATCTTGGAAGAGAGCAACACGCTGCAGAGATGCCTCCGGACCCCCAAATCACCATCCAGTTAAAAGTTTAACTCCACCTCTGGCACCTATTTAAAATTTTAGAATCCCGGAGCGACAACTCACACTCTACACCACATTTGATGGGATGTAAGGTAGAAGGCAACCAATCTTGATAAAAAAATTTTTTAAAAAATACATTATATTTATATACACATGCACGCAGCCAACATGGCCGACCCGAGTTCGATTCCTCCGCCCCTCTTGGAGAGCCTGGCAAGCTACCAAGAGCGTCTCGCCCGCACGGCAGAGCCTGGCAAGCCACCCATGACGTATTCGATATGCCAGACACAGTAACAACAAAGTCTCCAGTGGTGACGTTACTGGGCCCGTTCGAGCAAATCGATGATCAATGGGAGGACCTTTTACTTTACTTTGTACTAACATGTAACAACATGTTAGTGATCTCCTATACAGGGTCTCAATGGCTCCAAGATGAGATACAAGAATTTTCACATCTCTAAGGAAACCTTTTTGGACCTTTTTTAGTTGGTTATTCATGACAAGCAATACAAAATAAATTATTTAGCATCTGCCTTTGGGGCAGGTTTGGGTAGTGGTGGTAAATTAAAAAAAAATGGCGGTGGGAAAGTGTAACGGTGGTGGGATTGGTGTTGGAATATCAAATATAATAAATTATTGTGAATAACTTTATAAAAATAAAAAATAAAACATTTGGCAAATATTTAGATTATAAAAGCAACTTTTGGCCTTTTTTTTTTGGGGGGTGGGGGGGAATAAGGTGCACTCTTGGCAGTATTCTGGACTTATTCTTGGCTTATTCCTGGCTCTGCACCCATGGATCATTCTTGCAGGGCTCAGGGGATTATCTGGGGTGCTGGGGATTGAACCTAAATTAGCCGTGTGAAAGGTCTATACTATCTATACTATACTATCATTATGCAATCACTCTGGTCCTGTAAAAGCAGTGTTTTTTTGGGGGGGGGAGGTCACACCCGGCAATGCACAGGGGTTACTCCTGGCTCATGCACTAAGGAATTACTCCTGGCAGTGCTCAGGGGACCATATGGGATGCTGGGAATCGAACCCGGGTTGGCTGCATGCAAGGCAAATGCCCTACCTGCTGTGCTATCGCTCCAGCCCCTGTAAAAGCAGTTTTGATCTCATGTATATTCATGAAAAGGTTGTGGCAATTTCTAGGGATCTATAGAATACATTTTGAGCATTATTAAGATCTATTTTGTTTGAGGGTGATACCCACTGGTGCTGTGGGGTACAAGCATGTGTGTGTGGGGGGGTCACTCTTGGTGGTACTTGGGGTGCCATGTGCTGGGGATTGAACTCAGGTCTTCCACATGCAAAGCATGCACTCCAGCCCACAGAGACATCCTCCAGTCCTAACTTTGGTTTTTATCTTCTTCCTCATTCCAGACCCACTATTCACTATAAGAATGATAGAAGTGTCTTTGCTTTTAGGGCCAGAGCTATAGTAGGGCACTTGAGTTACACATGGATGACTCAGGTTCAATCCCTGGCACTCCACAGAGCCAGGAGTTAAGTTATGAACACTCCTGGGTAAGCTACCCGCCCCCCGCAAAAAAAAAAAACCAAAAAAAAAAAAAAACAAACAAAGAAATGTCTTTGCTTTAGTCAAAGTCATGCTCTTCACTCCAACTCTGAATCTCATCCCTTTCAGCATTCCTCAGAAATCTGCTTCTTCAGTTATTCTTTTTCCAATATCAGCAATGCCTTCCCCTCTCACCAACATATAAACATGGTCTAGTATTTCTTTCTACTTATACAAATTCTTCCTCTGATCTCAAAGCCCTCTCTAACTCCTGCCCATTTCTCATCTTCCTTTGTAAATAGTTTTTTAAAGTTGCCATACTCAGTAATATAGCTAGGGGGAAAACCCCAACAAAATTAAAGTGGTCAGAAGAATAGTACAGGAAGTAAGGTGCTTGCCTTGCATGTGACTTGTCAGCTGCAATCCTGATTCAAATCCCCCCCAAACTACATAGGGTCCCATAAGCATGCCAGGGGTCACTCTTGAGCACAGATCTAGGAATATCCCACAAAGTGGCCCTCAAAACAAGAAAAAATTTTTAATGACCAATAAGAAAATGAGGGGAATAAAAAAAAGTCATTCTTTCTCCAATATTTTGAAATGACTTCCTATTGGTGAAAGCCATTAAGAAGCTAGAAGAGAGACCCTTGGTGAACCTGTGAAATCAGAGTACTGAGCTGAAGAAAGAGGTGAAGAGCAGATTTAGAGACAAGAGAAGAGTATTTGATTGTGTGTGTGTGTGTGTGTGTGTGTGTGTGTGTGTGTGTGTGTGTGAATCAGAACTTTATATTGAAACAAACTTAGAAAGATGTGAGGAGAGACAAAGGGAAAAGTACATATTTGAGAGAGAACACAGGATTCTCCAGAGTGGAAGTAAGCAAGCAAAGAAACACAGAGACAAGCAAGCTAAATATGTGTTTAGGGGAGAACACAGGCCTGAAGAGTAAGCCAAGAAAATTATCTTTTAAGTTTGAACTTTTAAACTGCTTAACATTCTAACTTTCCATTCATGTGTGAGGAAATTTTTAAACAAATACTTTCCATCACTGTTGAAATACATACATGTATGCATGAATTTCCATCTCCTTTGCAGAGAGTCTCACACTTTTGCTACTGCCACTTCCTCATACCACTCACTCTTTATTTCCTTCAATCTAGTGTCTTATTCCCATCCCCTGACCCAGACGGCAGTCATTGTTCTGTCCTCAGCCTTATACTCAGAAGCACTGAGCAAAACTGATCAAACCTTTCTGTAAAATTTTCATTACCTGGCCTCTACACTTTCCTGGTTTTCTTCTTTCTGCCTCATGACTACTCTTTCTTGGTCAACTGTTTTATATCCATTGCTTGTATTCAACTTCTAAAAACTGAGCATCAGACACACAAAAGAATTTCGAGGGGCTGGAGTGATAGCACATCGGGTAGGATGTTTGCCTTGCACGTGGCCGACTCGGGTTCGATTCCCAGCATCCCATATGGTCCCCTGAGCACTGCCGGGAGTAATTCCTGAGTGCAGAGCCAGGAGTAACCCCTGTGCATCACCGGGTGTGACCCAAAAAGCAAAAAACAAACAAACAAACAAACAAACAACAAAAAAAAGAATTTCGGAACTGAGCAGCTCATTGCAGAGATGCCTCTGGACTTTGCACCAGGCCAATTTAATCAGAGTGCCTCAGACAGGAGCAGGTGTTTTCCATTCATTTGCTCCCTAGGAATCCCTGTGGCCACCAACTTCCAGAACCCAATGAGAAGTCCAGATACGCAGGAGCAGTGACAGCAAACACTAGGCCTCAAGGAATAGGGGATGGGTGGGATCTTCTCATCTCCATGTCCCTATGGGGCCCTGGAGGTCTTGCCCATGAAGTGCCTCAGGCTGCTATTTGAGCTCCTTAATGGCCATGATCCAGAGACACAAAAGAAATCTTGGAACTGAGCAGCTCGCTGCAGAGATTTCTTCAGACCCTGATTATCTAAAAGCTTAGAATTCCAGGGGCAGGCAGCCACAAGAGCAGCCGTGTGACATCTTATGCTATTCATAACAAGCAATACAAAATAAATTTATCTATTTGCCTTTTCAGCCGGTTTGAGTGGTGGTGGGAAAATTCAAAATGGTGGTTGGAAGGTTTAGTAATAGTGGTGGAACTGGTGTCGGAATATTTAATGTACTCCATTATTGTGAGCAACTTTATGAAAATAAATAAAATTAAATAAAAAAAAACTGAGCATCTCAGAGCTAGTCCTTGGAACCTTTTGCCTAAAGCTCCATAGGCATTAAGAGTCTCCAGACTTCTTTCTATAGTCAGAGTTTTCTCTTGATTAGTAATATCAACTGCTGACATGTCCAAAGCTATCCAACAGGTTTCCAAACTCAGAATGTCCAATCCAGTTCCCTTTCATTTTGCCCTTAGGGTAGTGCAACCTGAAACAGTGTGCCTTAACATCATTTTGTTCTTGGTATCCAGGCCTTGGGAAAACAAACAAAAGCATCTCAGTCTACTCTGCAAAAAGTTACCAAACAGGAGAAATAGGTTGGAAGGAGGCATAGCTGAGAGAGGTAACCTTCAGGAATGACCTGCAGAAAAAAAACTTGTTTATGCCTTAAGTAATGGCCTAGAGGATTCTCTGAAAGCAGAGAATAGAGAGCCAGCCATGTGCATCTAGCTAGCGGCATTCTGGTCTCTTCTTACCTGCAGCTCTGCTTCTAGGCCCAGCCGCCGGATAAAGGGGTCAGTGACATGGTAGCGCCGTTCAAAGCTCAGGGCACCCTGTTCCTAGAGGACAGAACAAATGAGCTTCATTGACTTGATTCAGTGTTACTTTACAATATGCCTATTATATAGACAGCATTATGCTGCATGCCACAGGAGTTAGAAATAATGACAAAAAATTGGCCTGCAGAAGCTTGCACTATACTTGGTAGAGATTAGATAATTATAGAAATATGTAATTAATTACAAAGTTGTCAAACTGCAAAAATATACTGGAAAAAAGAAATAGTAAATGTTGCCATATTTGGGTTGGAAAGGTGGGCATCATCTTTAGGACACATGTTGCGGGGGATTAATGATTAAAAAACTTGTATGGTCCCTCCAACTCTATGGTTTTATTAGGCTTTATGAGACAAAATAATAAAAACCCACAAATGGGATCTGGAGAGACAGTACAGCAGGTAAAGCGATTCACCGGCACGCAGCTGATCCCAGTTTGCTTGCCAGCACTGTGTATGGTCCCCTGAGCACTACGATATGTGGTCCCAAAACAAAAACAAAAACCTAAAAACCCAAATCCTCAAATGAACAAGATTCCAAAAAAAATTAGGGATGCAGGGGGAAAATATACATCACACACATGGCTCATGTAAAGACACTCTCTCAATCCTCCTTTATGGTAAACATAGGCATTTACTATGGGCTGGAGCGATAGCACAGCGGGTAGGGCGTTCGCCTTACAAGCGGCCAACATGGCCGACCCGAGTTCGATTCCTCCGCTCCTCTCGGAGAGCCCGGCAAGCTACCGAGAGTATTCGATATGCCAGACACAGTAACAACAAAATCTCCAATGGAGACGTTACTGGGCCCGCTCGAGCAAATCGACGATCAACGGGAGGGCCTTTACCTCGAGCAAATTTATCATATTAAAATTATTTATTTTAAGTTTTCGGGCCACACGTGTTTGTGCTTGGGAGCTATTCCCATTGTGTCCTTAGAGGACTTCTCCCAGCACAGTGCTCAGGGTCACTCTCGACAACACTGAGGAGATCACGTAATGCTGGGGGATCCTGCATTACAGGCCTCCTGCATGCAAAGCCTGTGCTCCAGTCTGTCAAACTTCCTCAACCCTTTAAAATATTTTTTAATTATAATTTTTAAAGCATTTAACTTGTTAAGAATTTTCTCTTTTTTTTTTCAGGTTTATATCAATCTGCAGGCAACATTATCATTTAACAACAGGAAACTAAGGCACTGGAGGAAAAATAACCAAAGTTTTATAGGTAGTTAATTAGAGCAGTGACAAGATTAAGTTCTTACTTAGGATTCTTATTATTGAAACATCATGCTTTGGTTAAATCTCTAGCATTAAAGTCCTGTGCTCCTTTATCAAAGGTGTCCCCTTAAAAAGCCTGGGCTACTTTGTTAAATAAACGCGAGTGTCATCATTCCTGCTTCTCACAGTATCAGTGTTTTCTATGGACAAATTGCAGAGAGCAGGTACAAGTTTTGGTAATTATATATGTGCAACTTTGTAGCTGGAGCAAAAAATGAAGCAGCTCCATTTTCTTCTTCAGAAGCCTTCTCCAAACACACAAGTACTGTGCATACCTTCATCCCACCTCCTCACCACCCTGGTCCAGATATGCACGCACATGCAATCCAAACTGATTTCCCTCACCAGCCTCTATTAATCTCAGAAGCCTGGGTACAAGGGGTACAAGGGCCTTGGACATACGTCTCCATGAATTCTATGTTCTTACATAAAAGAAAATAGGAGTCAAGACATAGTGACTTGGGCCTAGAGAGACAGCACAGTGGGTAGGGTGTTTGTCTTGCACACAGGCCGACCTGGGTTCGATTCCCAGCATCCCATATGGTCCCCTGAGCACTGCCAGGATTAACTCCTGAGTGCAGAGCTAGGAGTAACCCCTGTGCATCGCCGGGTGTGACCCAAAAAGGAAAAAAAAAAGATATAGTGACTTTAGGGCTGGAGAGAAAGTACAGCGTGGAGGGCATTTGCCTTGCATGTGGCAGACTGTGTTCGATTCCCGGCATCCTATATGGTCCCCTGAACACTACCAGGAGTAATTCCTGAGTGCGGAGGCAGAAGTAGCCTCTGAGCACAGCCAAGTATGGTCCCCTTTCCCCACACAGAAAAAGAGAGACTGACTTTAGTTCTGCCACTAATTAGCTATAACTTGAAGCAAAATCATTGACCCTAGATTTCATGACAAGAAACTGGCCTGCAGGAGCTTGCACTATACTTGGCAGAGATTAGATAATCATAGAAATACATAATTACAAAGTTGTCAAACTATAACAATATACTGGGAAAAAGCAAGAGTAAATGTTGTCATATTTGGGTTGGAAAGGTGGGTAAGGTGCTTGCCCTGGACCAAGTTCCTTCCACTGTAAAGTGAATCTGGGGGGAGGAAAGAACCTCCTGCTCCAGCGCAGAGGTCTAACTCCTTACCTTGATCTGCCTATGGATGAGGTCTCTCGTTATGTTGACTTTTGCCATCTTCTCTTAGTGAGGTCAACAGAAGGAAGCTATAGAAGGAGCTTCAGGAACCTTGAGCATTCCAGCCAAGCCCAGGTCCACAAGACACACATTTAATTACCTGGGATGGGGAGAAATATCAAACCTTAGTGGGTAGAATAAGGTAGCTTCAGAGCCCTGATTCCATAGTCCATGAATCCTCCCAGTGAAATGGCTGTTGCATGTGATTAATGACAGGATGGGCTGGCCCTGCTCCTGGCAGAGCTGAAGAACCTGTGGAATGGGCTGGGGGCTGGGGGCAGAGACAATGACTCACAGTCCAGGAAGTGGTTATGGCTTCATCAGAATATGGAAGGGCAATGAATATGAGTGCATAGGAAGAAGGAAGCATATTCTAAAAGTTAAGACACAGCACACATCAAGGAAGAGGCCATTTCACTTGTTTAGCATCATACAAATAGCCTGGGACTTTGAGGGGAGGGCTGCTTGGTTCACACCAGTTGTGCTCGGGGGCTATTCCTGGCTCCGTGCTCAGGAAACATGTGGTGCCCAAAGAACTGGACCTCACACCTCTATTGAGTTTTTTAAACTCACTACCACTCAGCCAAATGCCCAGCCCCCAAATCAGTAAGTATTTTTAGTGATATGGGGACTAAGCACAGTGCTAGGAATGAACCTGAATTGGTTTAAGCCCTGCCCAAATCAGTAAAGTTTTTGGTTTGCTGTTTCGTTTTTGAGTCACACCAGACAGTGGTCAGAGGCTACTTATAGCTCTGTACTCTGGGATCACTCCTGTTGGGCTTGGAGGATCATAAGGGATGCCAAAGATTGAACCCAGGTTGGCTGCATGCAAGGCAAGCACTTCATTCACTGTACTATCTCTCCCACTCCCAAATCAATAAGTTTAAAAAGAAAGTTCTGCCTTTTCTTTCTTTCTTTTTTTTTTTTTTTGTAGAATTTTGAGTCACACCCTGTGATGCTCAGGGCTTACTCCTGGCGAGCTTGGGGGGACCAGATGAGGTGCCAGGGATCAAACCTGGGTTGGCTGCATGAAGGCAAGAGTCCTACCCGCTGTTAGATCTCTCCAGCCCCAGTTTCTACCTTTCAGTTCTGATTCTATCTCTGGAACCACACAGAACGTCAAATCTCTCTTCCCTATGACACCTTTTGTGCTGTGATGACAGCTTCCAGGGCCTACCAGGTGGTCTTCCTATCAAGCCTCTGAAACTCACAGCAAGACCGTCAAGGGCACTTTGAGATTTTCTGCCCATGGTTTTCCATCAGCTGGCCTCCTGCAGATCACTAACATAGCCTCCTGAAATCATATCTTATCCACCTGATCTGTGATACTCAGACTTTCCTTTGTCACTTAACAAGGAACTAATTATAAACAATGTTATTATAGACAGCATAGTAGAACAACAAAAAAACTTACTGCCTTGTTATGTTTCAATCTGTTCAAGTTCTTTGTGGCTTATGCCTCCATTCATTTGGGGATCATAGTATCTCAAAAGTGCAAAACCTTCCCATAATGTAGAAGCCATCTAGCATTGCAACTGAGTGAAGATTGCCAGGGAGATATGGACGTTGATATCAAGCACTATTTAAAATGATAAAACCTGTGGCACCAAGAACATTCAGGGATGCCAAGCCAGAAACAACTACAATTTCATGATGGCTTTTCCACAGGGGGCTCTGGCTATCAAGTGAAAAAATATGAATTTGGGCAAGGAGCACATGCAGAGCACAGGCTTTCCTTTAGGGAGTCCTCAGTTTGCTCTCTGGCATGGCATGATCCCCTGAGCGCTGAACTGGGAGCACTCCCAAGCACTGTTGGGTGTGACCCCAAAACAGTAACAAAATAAGAATTTGAGCTAAGGATGTGGATGTAGAGTGCATGTTTCAAAAAAGGTGAATTTGAACAAACTGACATAAGTGAAACACTGACTGGCATGGAATGTTTTGTGATATAATGGTCAGAAAATTCTGACCATTGAAACAATAGAAATTTCTGTCACAATTACCAAGAATATAGAGGAATAATTATAACTGAAAGGATACCTAAGAAGATGGGTATATTACTAAGTGGCCAAAGGAATGGTACAGTGGGTAAGATACTTGCAAGTAGTCAATCGGCATTCGATCCTCAGCACCACATATGGTTCCCCAAGCCCCTCATAAGAGTTCCTGAGTACTGGCAGATGTGGACCAAAAACCAAAACAAAACAGTAATAGTAGTAAGATCAGTTCTGTTACTTCGATAAAGACCTTGCTTCCTCTCTTTTATTCTTCTTATTATTTTTTGGTTTGGGGGCCACACACGGCAATGCTCAGGTGTTACTCCTGGCTCTGCATTGAGGAATTACTCCTGGCAACACTCTGTGAAAACATATGGGATGCAGGAGATTGGTTTTGAACCAGGGATTGAACCAACGTTGAAATGTGGCCCTCTGGCCCCATTTTAAGTAAATTAATTCTTTTTTTAAACTTTTTTTTTATTTTAAAAATTTTTTTTAGTTTTTTTTTTTTCTTCCTTGCTTTTTGGGTCACACCTGGCAATGCACAGGAATCATTCCTGGCGGTGCTCAGGGAACCATACGGGATGCTGGGAATTGAACCCAGGTCGGCCTCGTGCAAGGCAAATGCCCTAACCGCTGTGCTATCACTCCAGCCCCCACTAAATTAATTCTTTGAACTTCACTTGCTTTCCTATTTTCATGTAGTTTACAATACAAATATCACCCAAACCCAGGTGAGATTCTTTATTGGGCAGTCACTGAATCACATAACTCAAACAAGCTGATCTGAGAGTGATTAATGAGCTACTTTTAGCTTGAGATCAGAGATGAAGAATTTGTAGAATTTTCTGGTGGCTCAGCATTTGAGAATTCCCCTTTTAATGAGACTGGGGGGAGAAGAAAGAACCCCAGCATGAAAGGAGAATAGTGGAGACTAACATCCTCCTCAGGGGGCTCCCCCACAGATACAGTATTGTATATGGTCCAGGTTATACCCCCTAGGCCTGGGTTCTTCATCTTTCCAACCGTGCATGGCCCCTTCCAACCTTGCTCCCTTCTATGGCTCCTCTTACTGGTTTAAGGAGGTGGTCTTGTGAAAATCTATGAGATTTTCACCTGTGCCTAACCCCCTCCCCCCACCGAACTTGAATATCCTGGGGGCCCATATGATCCTCAGCTTTAAAGTATTGAACTAGACAATCTCTGGCTTTTACTGGGACACTTTGATGAAAGAATCAGAGCATTATGGAGAGACTAAGCTGGCGGCAAGGGGTGACACTGGTCATTGAGGTTCAGGATAGCAGTGGTATAAACTGAGTATGTGGTAGTGGCAGCAGTATCCCCATGGACACTGAGAATATTTTTTTGTTTTGTTTCGTCTGGGGGCCACACCTGGTGGTACTCAGGGTTTACTCCTGGTTCTGTGCTGAGGGATCGCTCCTAGCAGGCTCAGGGGACCATATGGAATGCTGGGAATTGAACTCGGGTCTGCAGTGTGCAAGGCAGGTGCCCTACCCACTGTACTATCACTCTGACCCCTCATGAATAATATTTGCCTATTCCCAGCTTTCCCTGTTCCAACTATTTGGGGGAAGGGGTTGAGGGGCACACCTGACTATGCCCAAGGCTTACTCCTGACTTTGCAACCAGATCACTCCCAGGTTCTGACCTAGAACCTGGGTCATCTGTGTAAAAGAGATGCCGCTATGAGTCTTGTTTTGTGGCCCTCCTATATCTCGTGAATTTTTCTAATATTCGTCATCAGCTACAAATCACTGATACAGAGGGGTTTCTCTGAAAAGATGACTTTCAAATTGAGTGACTTGGGGGAGTTCCTCTGAGGACAGAAAACAACAAGAGGAAGATAGGCTGAAAAAGCTTGTGTGGGTCTGGGAAGAGAGCTCACGTGTCAGAGTACATGCCGAGATTGTGTAAGAGCTCGAGTACTCCTGAGAGCATTATGAATGTGAACCTTGAACCATCAAGTCTACACCATCTAAAATCAACCAGAGTGTCTCCAGGCCCTCCAAGTACAGCTAGCAGTAGTGCCTTAAAAAAAAGAGAGGTGTATGTATCTCACTGTGATTCAATAAAAACGAATAAATAACTCAGATTTTTTTGAGAGAGGGAGGGGGAGAGAGAGATTAAGGGAGAGGGAGAGGGGGGCGAGGGAGAGAAAACAAAGCTTTGTCAGGCATATAGTTCAGTAGTAGAGCACATGCCTCTCATGTGTGACCCGAGGTCTGATTCCCAGAACAGCCCCCACTAAAAAAAAAAAAACCAACAAAACAAAAACAAATTCTTTAATAAAACCTTGTATGGCAGTAGAGACTTTGACTCTCACCAGTTTACAAATGAAGGAGACTCATGGACATAAAACAGTTTGCACACCGTGACACAGCTAAACTGGTGCTGGAGCAGGAATTCAAGCTCAGAGCTACAGGTACACTCCTCACCGTTGTGGCATATAATGTCCTACTTTAATGACCATTATGAGAATCTACCAAAACAGCCATCTAAATTGTTGCTACTCATTCATTCATTTCCTTAAAATATTACCTGAGTACTTACCAAGCACTAAGTACTAAGTCAGACAAGGGGGAATACTAAGTGAGTACCTATGGTGAAAGCAGAGAATCAAAGGCAAGAGACTTTAGCTAAGGTTGATGGATGGTTTGGAAATACTTAAAGGAATAAAGGGGGGAAACAAAGAAACCAGACAATCAAAAAAATCACAAATTCATTAAATGGTAAAATAAAAACTGGGAAGTAAAACCAGATCAGACCAGCAGACAGAGGTTTAAAAAAACAAACGTCAGGCCAGAGAGATAGCTTAATGGGTCAGAATTTTTTGGGTTTGGGGGTGACACCCAGTGGTGCTCAGGACTTATTCCTGGCTCTGTACTCAGGGATCACTCCCGGAGGGGCTTGGGGGACTATATATGATGCCAGGGATTGAACCTGTATTGGCCATGTACAAGGCAAGTGCCCTACCCAGTGTACTAACAGATCAACAGCACTGTATGGTACCCCCAAACAATGTCAAAAGTGACCCCTGATTGTGGAATCGGGAGTAGGCCCTAGCACCACTGGGTGTGGCTCT